TTAATTACCTTGTCCTGAACTAAATAATCAGGCAGCTATTGTCTTTTAAAATATACAATTATACTGAATAGTAAATTAACTGACAGTACTTGATAAAAGGCTACATTTGTACAGCATGGGTGTGCCCGTAGTGAATTTAAGGTAAAAAGTCTGCCATCAGTTGTAAGTTGTCTCTCACAATCAACTTATATTCACGTATGATATAAAATGTCATTGTCATTTAGGTATATGATTGCATTTGTTTTTATAGAAAAATATCATACCTAGGGGCAATAGATATGTTCTGTACCTTTGTCTTAATTTTATTCTTTTAGGTTTATAAAACGATTTTATAAAGCATTATTAAATAATTGTAGAAAAGAATATAGTATGTAATTTATTGTAATTCTACATAAAATTGTAAAACAGTATTAACATTAATCGAAATTACTTATCAAATGTATTCTTACATACTACATTTGTGTCATCTAACGATTGAAAAGGAAGGAATGTTTTCTGTTAATTTAATTGCTTAATTATTTGAGAAGGGAATTTTGACTGTGCATGTATCGGAAGGAGACTTGAAAGAAAACTTGAATTGTTTAAACATATTTATATCTAAAGCATACTGATTTCAAAGGAAATCCATTGACATCCCAAACCCTAATAGCATACAATTTGAAATTCTTAGAGGGGTCATTGGGTGTATTTAAAATGCAATTATATTATATATTGTATACAATAAATATACCTTGATTATTGATTGAAATTCAATTTGTTGTGATTCTTAGCCCAATATCTTAGTCAAAAACATTTACACAATTCAATTTAATTTCAATCATTTTGTACAATAAAAAATAGTATTGTTGAAAAACAGAGTAAACGAATGATCGGCAATATCGTACACATATTATTTATTCAGACCTAGGTCATACGGTATACATATCTCAAAGAAAAAAGTCCAGTCCCTTTATGCCACAAAGCCACAGTGAAATCCCTTTCAATACTTACGAAAGTTTTAAAATAAAAATGCATTCTAAAAAATTATACTAATGCAAATAGAATAAATTAACAGGTCAAGAAAAACTTTGAATGAACGCTACATTATAAAGACATAATCAGAATGAACAAAATGCACGATCGATACTGAGATCAAACAACCTAACAAAACGATACACCGTGCGAATGAGACAGTCGTAATACCTTAAAAGGATTCCATTGGGGTTGTTTTGTTGTTTAAAATGACTGGGAAAATGTTGAGATTAAGGTACCATTTTATGCTGGTCAAAATGTGTGTGCAAATTTCCATTTTTCCAGATTGATTGTTAGACTGTGAAAAGTTACCCAACATTTAAAAGCGTGGAAAGACTTTTCACATAAATAGGTCAAGACTATCACAAAAATACGATTTTTTAATTTATTTCAGTGGTTTTTTCTCAGTTATTGTTTACATATATTTCTGTTTAAGTTCCTCACTTGATCTGTGTAAAAAATTGAAATGTTATGTTTTAGGCTTTCGGACCTTAGTGGAGTTCCTTTAACTATATCACAAGCCTTTGCAATTCAAAGTGCCTTGTCAGTGACAAAAATTATCAAACGTCTGAAGCATGTTAGTATTCTGAGCATGAACGTTTACTACTATTTTGGCACTGGTAATTATATTTCTGTCTCATTTTCAAATCAGTTAATTCCCTAGATATTTATTTGATAGAATAAAATACGTACTTAGAATTCGTGGAATTATTTTCTAAAGATGAGAGAAAAGAGATAAAGTATAAACGCAGACATATTATATCTTACTTCTTCTTTTAATATGAAGATTTATTTTTGTAGCATCTAAGTATAACATTTATCGGTTTACTGAATCAGATTTGAGTGTTAGTATTTTATTTTAAATTTCGTGAATTCATTTTTCTTAGAGCTATTTGTGCACCATTTTCAAATAGACATTATTTTGTAGCTTAACTGAAATTATAAAAAAGCTCTTATTACAGTTTTTATCAAATGATTTTATTAGTGTACTTAATATGTTAATCTTAAGTTATATTTTAATGAAATAATATTTTGTTGATATTTTATTTCATTTTTTTTCCATTTGTTATAATAAATATTGATTGTGATTGTGAGGTCATCAATATCATACTTTTCTTTTACCACGTTGCAATATGGTAACTAATTAGACTTTGCTAAGATTTTATTAAAACGTTTAAGAATTGTACTGTATTTATAATGCATGCATTAAAACAAACATGCAACCTTTTAAATCGTCTAAAATATAGAGAATACCATGCCAGTGTATGATATTACAAAATTTATTAGGCTTGGCAAGAAAAAAAATGAAGGTCTCGACAGGGCCTTGCCATTCTCTTTTTTTTTCGATAATTTTATTATATTACATTTGTTTAATCTATTTATCATGTTTTCAATTTCAATATGCTTTTCTGTCTTTTAAGTTGGAATGAAATAAACCCTTGTTAAAAACATGTCGATTTTATGCCGCGCGCATTAATATGCGGAGGTCCTATCAATAAGTAATAGTCCCGAATGTTTTCGGTCAAATTTAAGAGAGACTTTAATATTTTTAAATACTATTCGACTCAAAATTTAGTTTCATTTTAATATTTTCAAACTAGTAGGAGGTAAAGATATTCCATACTCTTATCTTATTTCAATATGTATTGATGAGGAGCCTGATAAAGCTGTGGAAGACTGACTGATAAAGCTACCAGGCATGCACTTTGTTAAAAGGAATCAATGATACGATTGACCAGAAACATTAAAGACTCTGACGATACTTTATCTGCGTTTCAGATATACACAATTTACTGGTGCATTTTTATATATAGTTTTTATATTCAGTGTACACGTTATTTCACTTGCACTTTGAAGGATGATTTATCCCATAAGTTTTAAAAGGAAACAAAGCAACATCTTCTTTTGTAATAGATTTAACAATTTTAAGTGTTCAAGCTCTTAAGCAATTTCGTAAATATATTAGATTTTCACCCTCATCGGTGTGATTATAGCCACATTGTCAAGAAGCTTTATGTTACAAATGAACACTTATATTTTGTTTACAAATAATTCTTCTCAACGAATATATAACGACTTGGAAATATAGGGAAGCTACACACTTTTGACAAAATAACTGGTGGTATATAACTGATTTGCATGTAGTAGACACTTACTAGATATTTTCAACCTATACCAAATTTAAACTTGGCTGGTAAATTGGCATTTCCAGACTAAATTTGATACCTTTTGATTTGAATTCTTGTATTTCTGATATTTGGTTTTGTAAAACTGTTAGTTTAAAATTTATAAAAGCAGACGGTTCTTCGATGTGTTTCCCCTAATACGTCACGATTTTCACGCAGCATTAAAATGATTCTTGTAATCCAATCCCCTTTTCTTACCCTGTATGAAATGAAAGAGATAAGCCTTGCTTGTAGTTTTAGGCCAGACCTGCCTGTACCTTAAAATTTGACCAACTTAGTAGTATCATCTTTCAAGCCCTAAAGTTTATAACTGACTTCTCCACAAAGTATAAGCAGGACAAGTCCGTTAAAGACAGAATTAAATCAGGTAAACTTTGTTATGTGAATGTCAATAATCTTGTCTGATAGCCTACCATAATATAGTTTTGATTTAATGCCAACCTATTGTTTTGTCGTATAGAAAAACAAAACAAAAATTTGTACCAACCGGGCTTCTCATGGAATGACATGGGCATTTTACGTTTACGTTTTGTTGAAAATTGTCGTAAGAATTACATTTTAAATATATTTCTCAATTAAGTATTATCTTGCTTTTAAATAAACAATACCGCTCTAGCCGGTGAAAGGGAGCCGTGGACTTGAGTTTATCTACTAGCGCACAAGTACAGACTCAATTAGAAACATAACTTTTTGCCGTGTGGGGCGTTCTAATAAAAGTATAAAGATTTCATTTTATCTATTCTATGTTGCCAATTAACCCATTTTAACATTAAATCTATATTGCAGATGCAAAGGGCTTGACAATTTTAGTTTTGTTGAAAGGTCCAATTATGTACAGTTCCTAAACCATAAAGAGCATTTTAGGAAGGAAATAAATATCACTTGACTCGTATGTGTATGCTACAGTTCTAGAATTATTGAAAATCAGAAAATTTAAATTAATATCACTAACCGTTTATATCGCTCACACTGTAAATAATAAAGCTTTGCTAATTTTGTTTTGTTACTGTGCATATCAATTTTAAAAGTGCTTAAAATTACATAAAATTTTATTTGTTGCATTTTGTTTCTCATGGTATATTTCTCAATTCAATATAACATACACTTGTAGCTTCACTTCGATTTTGCTGAGGGGAGCAACCTTTATCCCTGTGTGATTGTAGCAAAACGATTACAAAGGATTTTTATAATTGGAGTCTATGCATATCTTAGCTCCAGCAGTTGAAGTGGTTGTGTATCGTGGTGTTGTTTTAGCGAGGTTAGCCAAACTTATCTTTCCTGTTCCGGTGCCATATGACATTAATTGTTTTGGTGCGCCGTAAAATCAAAAGAAAACAAGCAAACTTCACAGAAAATGTAAAAAAAAAACGCAATATTGTGTATCAAAAAGAATAACTTATGTTTATGGTGTAACTTGAAACACATAAAATGATTTTTTAAGAATACGAAATATATCTCACATCAAAGTAAAATTATACACCCTTTCACTTGCACTACCTACAATAATGTCATAACATATACAGCATTGCACATTTTCAAATTAATTAATGAGATATAAATCTTTATACTTACTCAAAGGAAAGACATAACCTCTAAATACATTAAGTTAATTTACTCAAACTAAGGACACGGGAAATCGTATGTAAGTGTTTATAAATAGTTTGTCATTACTAGTAACACACGCATGCACACAACAACAACAGTCTAAGGTTTCAAGATTTATTTGTTATATTTGCACTTACTGAATTTTGAAATCTAAAAATAAGAATTAATGATGTTGCTATTGCAGTGGTTTATGCATCACCATAAAACAATCACGTGTTGAAATAGAACAATCAAATTATAAATATATGTTTCTCTCTGCGCTGGAAACACGTCAAGCACATTTTAAACCCGAAAGAAAATATGCAATATGGATTTGTCAGTTTTCGTTTGGAGTCTTTGCAACTATATTCAAGCATCAAAATGACATTTATTGTAATCGTTAATATATCATTTATAAAGATTTCTAAATATAAAGTACAAGTATTTTTCCCTTAATTAATAAGTTCATTGGGCATTGATAAATTTGGCCAACACAAGCACAGAATCTGCAAACTCCGATAATTAAATGTATGATTATATGTTATTTTAAAGATGATTATCTTACTTCTGTTTAGTAATGGAATTTACTTTTAATTTATTATACGTAAATATTATGTGATACATTTGAAATTGAATTGAATTGATTTTGAATTAATTACTATTAATGTGATTTATTTTAAATCATAATGAATTAATATTACACTTTATTGCTTTTCAAATTTAAATGGTCTTTCCAGAAATCTGCCAAATCTCCATGGCACGTGGGGTTTCTTGTCCTTTTCAGCGTTTCTTTCATAAAGGCCTTCAGTGTCCCTTGACTTTTTACCAAACCGAAACAGTGAACTTCTTTTGTCTGAAAGAGGTAAGGCTTCAGCCCTGGGATCTTCGTTAAAAGCATAGAAATCGGATGGGTTATACTCGTTTATATCAAAATCCTCTACATCGTACGGCACGTTGCGCTTTCCAAATCGTAAAATGCTTCCACGTTTGCCAAAACGAAACAAAGATCGGCGTTTTCCAAAACGAAACAACGACCTTCTTTTGTCCATTCTTTCAATGTCGTCTGCGTCTGCAGGAAGAAAGTCGTACAATGTGTTTATTCCGCGTAAACGTGAATCTAAATCTGAAGGAGTATCAATAGGTCCATCTGGAATAGAAATCGAGCAAGACTTTTTATAAAAATGCAATTGTAAGCATCATCGTTATACGCATTATCGTTATACTTAATAGATATGTTATGCCCATTTATAAGTTATTTTACGACGTATAAATCATCAGTACATGAGATATATGTCTTATTGTTCTGTTCGAAGCTTTGGTTTCGTTTTGGATGATATAGTAAAGCATCACGCCACTTAGTGCTAGTTTTGGCTAGTGTAATGGACAAAGGCTATAGAATGCGTCGACAAATTAATAGCACAAATGTGATTCTTCAGCAAGTATAGAACAAAACCTCATTTTGAAGAGATATTAAAAAACTTTTCACTCGCGCTTTATGCTTATAAATTATTTTCAAACACCCACTTCTTAGTAAAATAAATATTTTTCATTTTAAAAACCATTATACATTGTACACAAGTATGACCAATGTATTGAATAATAATCACGCAAATCACGCGAACAGTGTCTTAATGTCATGGAATACAAATGAGCATTATTTAACACCAACAATGGTTATTTATTTTAAAAACATGTGTTGCCATCATCACATCTAGATTATACATATTAAGTGAACAGGATTTGCAAGTTCTTTTTCAAATGTGATACAATCACACAATATTTCTAGTATTTTAATCTCGTTTATTTTGATATTCACTTAGTATTTAATTAATAATAAGTGGTGATAAAAACATGTGATATTTATGTTGTCTTAGTTTTTAAAGTCATACTGGCCTTACTATCTCGGTGACTTTGAAACACCTGCAATTTATTTACTCATTGCCTTGTATAGTGTGTTTATATTAATGAATATTGCAACAGTACAATATCTATTAATTTGAAAATCATACACATTTCCATTCATTGTTTACAAACTTCAACAGACATTGTGTTGTTTAAGATTTATAAATAGAGTATTCATAATAATGATAATATATATTTAAAATAACTGATTACAATATGGGGGGTAGTAGTTTCGACAAACATATACAATTGCTTATTACCGTTTAGTTAATTAAAAGTGTGCCACAAAAGATACATTTTTTACTATAATGTTTATGCTCGAAATAAATGAATGCACAAAGGATAATTATATGTAAAATGTATTTAATAAATATCATGGCGATGATATGATGGTTTACTTGTAATGAAAGGTTACAAATCTTCCAATGTCCCACTGTTCTTCCTTAGAACACTGTCTGTTAAAACTATTTATTAAAATATATTTTCCATAATTGCATATCAAAAAACTCCATCTGTTTGATACTTACCTGATTCTACTGTCTCGGAGCTTGTAAATGAGATCTTGAAAACTATTAAAGTTAGCACACAGAGAGCGTATATTCGTCCGTCCATCATTTTCCTGAAATGAGAAATCAAAAGAAATTTCAAAATCCTATATATGTGTGTGTGTTTGTTTGTTTGTTTATTGTTGTTTTTTTCCAGTTATTGGCACTTTGACACAATAATGACGGGTCATTGTGCACCGAACAGTATCATTATTCAATTATGGTGAATAAGCCTTAACAGAGTAACCAGGCTTATAAAATCAGTTACTTAAGTTTTAGAATACAAAGTCATCAATCAAAGTTTGATTACTAGCAAGTAACTATGTTGAGTGCATAACTGCTTTGATTCGGCAATATTTCATTTTTTTAGGAAGACTCTCAACGGAGCACCGCCTGTAACCTTTCATATGTTATTTTCACTCGACAATTAGCTATAAGTCATATAATACAATTAACTAAACCATTTAATATAATTGTTATTCCTTGATAGGATTGTACATCCGGTGCGTCTGATGTACGGACAGTTCAAAGTAAATAATCATTAAGAATGGGCTATTAATTTGATACATTACACTCGTACAAATGCCCATGGACAGTCTAATATTGCCATCATCGAGGCTATATTGGGAATAGTTGGACTTGCAAATGATTTATTTCCTTGTTAATTTTTATAATATTATGTCCTTGTATATTGTCTGCATAGGACATTTTTTTGTCAAAATTGACTTAACAGCCTTAAAACCGTTCGTCTTTGTTTTTCTTAATCTTCTGAAATCAATTTGTTTCAAAGATTTAGTGAACACCTGTTCAGTTTCTGCGTTGCACCGGCATGAATATATTTTGTCCCGGTGTCTATGCAAATAACACTTAAAAATAAAAAGCATTCTTTTTTTATAGTAATATATTCATGTTTTTTTTTTTTTTTATTGGATATGTATAATATCACATTTGTATAGGTTCATTTTCTTTTTTTAATTCTTTAAAAGAATAAAGATAATATTTTCGGCTTACGCTCGAATAATATAATTTCATTCAACCCCTTGAATACATTAAGTATAAAACATAGACCTTATTTATAAAATCAACACTATTTGTTACGGATCTTTAACTCTGACGTATCTCGATTAACCAGAAGCAAAATTAAGACAATAAATCAATTACGAATTTTCTGATAGCGACAATATATTTTGGAGTAAATGTCAAATATATTTTGAAACTTATTGAAAGTGTTACAATGAAATGATGTCACAGCCTACACTCGCTATAGAAAGTTTATGAATAAATAATTGAATGTTTGCAGGCGATAAGTGTTGTGCGTACTGAAATTACATACCTCTAATAGCGTGTATATTTAAAATTGTTATAAATTGAGACCTATCAATCAATTTATAACAATGCACTCTTGGCCAATATTGCTTTTTTGCATTGAATACTGTTGTACCACATCCGGTATCTACTGAAATATCATCATAGCATAACCATTATAATGAACACTTTCAATTAATCTTCTCTTGTAAATTCAAACGTCATCTCCCGACGGAATGATAGGTTAATTATCGTAAATCGTTGATCATGAAGTATTCCATTAACGATGCAAATAGAACGTTAAACAATTACTGTTTTTTATCGTGAAACCGTAAAAAAGAAATGACATTATAAATATACTAGGCAATGTAGAGATTTTAATCTTTATCTTTCACGGTTTTGTAAGTACTAGTTTTAACTTAAGGTAAGTATAACACCACAAATCATAAACAAAAATCTTCTCATACAATAATTGTTTATATTAAAACCATGAACTCAAATGGACCTTTTTCATATTTTTTCTTCAATTTCTGTCTGTTATGCATTTTTTAAATTATTAATCAGTAACAAATGAAGTATGAGACACTTTTTCTCTTAGTGTATTCTGTAAATTCTGTATGTTTAAATCAAGTATTTCATAGCATTATTTCTATCGCAAACTTTATTATTTTGAAATTATGCCTGTGATATAAGATTTTGAATGAAATTCGTTTGTGCAGGGTTCAGTATTTGAAAAAATAAAACAAGTAAGAGAGTAGAGTTTCTTCTCCGAATACTGTAACATTTTAAATGACTTCATTTCTAACCCAATAATTTTACCAATTTTACTAATATGTTTACAATTAATGGTGTTTTTTGACTTAAAGAAAACCTACCCATGTTCGATATTTCATAGTTTAGAAGAAGTAATTTTGTTTTTATTTGTATTTGTTTTATTCTCTAACTAAGAAAGGTTTCATTTTTTCTTAGCAATGTACTATGTTAATTATTATCAAGTTCTTTTTTGTACCGGAACGATACATTTTCTTATATAAAAAATGTAATGTTCCCCTTTGTATTCAACAAAATGCTTTGATGAAAATAAAAAGTAAGTTCTGTTCTGTTTCATCAATTGTCTCTTCAGAAATTCCCATAATGCTATGCTTCAATGAGTTTTATATCATTGCGCACTGAATATTTGCTTGTTTCTAGGAAACTTGACACGTTCGAGGATGTTTCATGTTGCAAAATATGCATGTAATAGACACTCCACTCGGAACAGTAAATTTGAATTATATACTTGTTCTACTTTAAAATGTGAAATGTCTGTGTTGTCAATGCGAAAGGGTTCTTTTTATTTAAATTGTAATAGCAAGCATCCAACAGGTAAGCCTGCATGATGTAAAAGCTCACCTGTTTTGTCTGATTTTTTTTTTTAAAACTGGTTGTATATTAATTGTCCACGGCATTGAAAATGTCTAAATAATTATGTACATGTATATATATTATTCAATTTTTAGAAAAATATACTTATTTCAATTACATTTCTTTCTTGTCTTGTTTTGATATCATTTTCATTTTGATTTATGTAAATAGTACATTGTAAAACGTTGTTTACATAGTGGAGCAATGTTATGATTAAGATATTTTACACGAGATCCAGGTCAAACATTATATAAATTTACTTCCCTTTACCTGCAACTACCGTTCCACATGTTGCTGCTAGCTAGGCAGGCTAAGAAATATCATTTAAACTAATTTCTTCTTTGCTATTTGTCGATCACATAAGAAAGGTAAAAAAAAACTTATTCATGATCAATTTTTCATTGTCAATCACTGTGTTTATTTAATATAATCCTAAATTTAAACAAGTGTAAGGCCATATTGCAACACATGTGACCTCCTCCATCCTCCTTGTAATGGTTCAATAGTGTTTGAAAATAAATATCATACTCTTACCAGTATTCAAGCCCGTGCTATGGAATACTAGATATGGGAGTAAAGATCAAGAACCAAAACGAACACACACCCGTTGTATTGTATTCAGCTTTACAGAGTTCAAAGAGATACAAGTGCGTGGGAGAGGGCTTCATACATATGGTATGGCGCTAGTTAACTAATGAATTCCAACCGCAACGTTTCCTACTTTTATTGTTTAATACGGATGCTCTGCTATACGATTGAATGAAGATAACCTTCTGAACAAAGGAGATCCGACGAGAACATACTTAGGATAGTGATTATAAACTACTTACGTATCCGATTTGGCAATTATTTTCAAAATTACTTCAAGTAATGAATCACTTAAATTTTAACTAACAATTGTTCAACCTTGCTCAAGAGATTTTGTCGATTACATTGACCGTTTAATATGATTCACCAATCGTGCACATAAGTAATTAGTTATCAATCTTTTTTACGAAAATATATCTTGGCAAACAAATGATCGACTCTTATTTAGTAGGTTAATTTATCCATATTGAGTAAAGTATGTGAATATTGTCAGCTTTATCCGTACTTTCACTGTAAAAGTTTTTTTACTGCTATGAAACATATTTTCCGTTTGTTCACAGGTATTTTGCCGGATTACTTTCTTCAAAGCTCAGACACTACACACAATTAGATTGAAAGTCTTTTAAATTGTAAGGTAATAAAGAGAAAAGTTATGAAGACGGGATTTTCTTCATCTCTTGGTATGTAAATAATCATATTTATATTCATTTTCGTTCCGCTCGATGCAAATAAAACCGTGTTTATACAAATCTTGATAATTATATGTATTTGTGGACTTTTATTGTACCATTATCTATATAGAGTTACTATTGCCTTAGTTGTGTGTATTTGGGGAGGGGGCATGACATGCAATGTTAATTTATTTGAAGCTTATAATTTAAGTACAGAGAGTGGTGCACTTTAAAGAGGAAAATTATAAATAAGTTACGTTTATTGAAATCCTTTTAAATACTTTATACAGCTCTGGCTTGGGAAATGAACAATGAAAATACGTTATATGTAGTACTGTATAGTTTATATTCATAGTTCAAAGTTGCTACTCAAGCGTGATTAATTAGAAAACTTGAGGTTCTCAGTTTTTCCAAGAATAACTTTGCTTTACATTTATGAGTTTATGTTTCATTAAACTTTTATAGAACAGTACATGTCATTACATAATTGATCAATAGATCAAATGTCTTATATTACTTAACCGAGAATTTTTTTCCCAAACAAAGACACAGCTCAGATAGTATATATCATTCAGACTTTGCTAAGCTTATTATAAACAGTGTGCTCGACTTATTTTGATCCATAATTACTGGATCAAAATTATTGCGTCAATTTGACATTACTGTAACAAGCTTATTTTATTTTGAGGTTTTCTAAAGAATTCCAAATGAGTTCCTCAAAAAATGCAACTTTGTTATCGCAATCGTATTGCCCTGAGGTAATCTACTTCTTATTCGGACGAATGATCTTGCAACGTTTGATTGAATCAAGGTTCGTTTGTCACCTATGCTTTTTGCTATCCACTAATAAAATGCAAATGAGTTTTTGAGCGATGTTGCTTTAATGACATTTGATTAGAAAAGTTTTTTAATCAGAGGGAAGGAAGCAAAACGAAATTGTTATAGTAGCATATTAAAACCTGTTTTCAAGACACATAAATCAAATTACAATTTTTCTAGTCAAAGGTTCAAATCAAGAATTCGGTCTCTATGACAGATATTTTTTAAAACATAATACGCATTTAGTTAACCTCTGACAGCAATGGAAATTAGACTAATCTAAATTA